CTGAAGATCTAGAAAGTTTACCTGCATTTAACAGATTATGTGGTTAAGTGGCTAACAAGATTTTCAAATGCCTTCCCACAGTTACAGAAGATTTACTTATTCAAAAACACTCAGTCACAGTTTTGAAAGTACATTCTCATAATTACTTCAAGGAACAGAATTCACTAAAGTTATCTAAATAGAAAAACATAGTAAGGTTAATAAAACATATCACAAAAAATAAACTTCTTAAATATGTGTATTATGAAATGATATGAAACATTAAATGTACTGTATTCAATATAAAACAGTGAAAAAAGAGAAAATTAGCTGTTTTGCAGTATTATATATTATTTCTGCTAATACTGAATTATTTTGGTAACTGACAACACATTTTTTAATTATCATGCAAAAACTGCAATATTTGGAGGGCTGGAACTTCCTGATTTATATATTGATAACTGAAAATGATGTTAAGACCTTTAATGAACTGCAAAAAAAAAAAGATTTCATTATACTATTAATTCAAAATGGGAAAAATTATGAACAAAAGAATTGCTTTTAAATTCTTTAAATCAAGAAATCCAGTGGAAACTGAGTTCAGTAAAAAACGAGTACCTTAAAAATTGGTAGCATTTTGCTCTTTTTGACCCACTCCCCCTTAATTATTTTTAATAGTGTAAAAATGGAAAGAATTAAAGCAGATAGTTTTTAGGTTCCAAAAGTAGCCTCCCTTCATAAGCAAATTAAAAATGATATAAATTACCTCAATTAACCTGTCTATATATCCTCATGATTAGTCATCATGGGGATCAATGGCTATTAGCCTTGATGGTAGTGCGACTGCCCCTGAAGGCCATCTGCTGGGAGACTAGTGGGCCTCCTTGTGCAGTTGGTTGACCACTGTTAGAAAAGACTGCTGGACTAGATGGGCTAGGGTCCAATTTTATGTTCTTAGTGAAAGGTATAGAATACAGATTCAAGCTTCATTAAGATGTACAATATGGGAAGATGTTCCTTTTGTGTCCTATGCAGTCCATCCATGTCCATAATGTGGTTGACTATGTTCCCTGCTTTGTAATATGTGTATACAACCTTTGGGATACAGTTACAGATATATAAACATAGTTATAACATAACTTTACAGCCATCTGAATGTTAATATGACTTAATCCATATTTTGTAACCTGTGTAATTTATATTGAGTTCAAGACTGGATACACAAAGCTAATTACAACATAATTATGTTTGACTTATATTTACTCCTAGAGGCCTAGAGGATACAGATTCAACTGCATCACAAAGGTAAGAGTGTCTGTTACAAGTAATCTGGATGAATACTCAGGGATTCTACTTAACATTGCTATCATTGACATCTACATATCATGAAGGTGAAAAGAGTGGGAAAAAATGCATAGAATTGAAACAATGAAGAAAATTGTGAAAAGATATAAAGAAGAAAAATAGGAAAATTGCTGAGAAGACCACTAAGAAGTAAAGATATAAAAAGAACTGAAATATTTTTTTAAAAAATACTACTATATTCTTTGATCTCTACCTACACATTCTAATTTCAATATACATGTAATTCCTTCCAGCATAATTTACATTATATACTCAAAGCTTACATCCCAGGTATAAATAGATTTTCTAAATAAGTTTTGAGGTGTGATTTAAAAAAAAATCATAAAGAGTCTCCTAAATATACATGTACATTACATAAATTAAAACAATCTTGTAAACTGGCTTCTTGAGAACAGATTATAATAGGAAATAGAAAAGTACTTTCTATCCCAATTCCTTCCAAGCTCAAAAGTTTCTTACATATTGTACAATTACCAATAGACTTAGGCTCTTACTGATTTTTAAAGTATTAGAAAATATATTCCCCCTACCCCCAGGGGTGGTCAGGCTGCCTGTTTTGGACAGAACAGCATACTCCTACTATGTTTCCTCCCATGGGAAAAATGGCAGCCACACTATCATTTATCAGATCATATATCATGCTGAGCTAAGATTTGCTTTAACTATTAGTTTGTTTACTATACAGAGTTATTCCTGATAATGAGTCACATTTATTCGGTTCTTTGCAATTTTATGATTGATTCCCCAGCACTTTATGGTTGCTCCTGCTTTAAGATGAGAGATCTGCTAGATCATTTCAGTGATTAATCTACTCGAGCATTCTAGATCTCAGAGGCCAACCAGATATGTTTAGGAAGTTCATAAATATAGACAGGAAGGTGGAAGCCTTTTTCACTTGTATTGTTCCCTAGCAGTTGGTAATTAAGGTTTGCTACCTGTGATTCAGAAAAAATAAATTGCCAAGAAGACTCATGGCCACTGTTACCCTAAACCTCTATGAAATAATCCTGTTCCCTTTTAAATCCTCAATTAATTTATTAGATTTGTATGTCCCTGCATTTAATTTCAGTAGATGACCTCTAATTCTAACATTGAGGGAGAAAGAAGTATCATTTGCCACATTTTTTCATACCATGTATGACTTAATATGACTCATAAGAGATTTATATAAGGACATCACTATATTGGTGGTTTTATCTTCACTTTCCTACCCATTAATTCCAAGCATGAAATTTGTCTTTTTAAAATACTAAATGTACATTGGGTTGACATTTTCATTGAACTGTCCATTGTGACTCTATGATCAGTCCTGATCAGTCAGGATTGATCAGTCACTGCCAGCTCAGTTCCCATTAAATGTATATGGAACTTTTAGGGTTTCTATGCCTATGTGCATCACTTTGGATATACTTACATTAAATTGCATTTCCATTTTTAAGCCCATTCATTTTAAGTCTTTATGGAATTCTCAGAGGCTTGGACAAAGAGCAAAACCAAAGCAGAAATAATTGAGGAAGCCACAAACATTAATTCATCAAATTAAGCTAGCAAGCTATAGTTTCAAATTAGTTTACTGCCCTAGAACAAACTCTCACTTATTCACAGACCCCATTAGCACATCATGCTGCCAAAATCCAAAGCCACATTATGACATCCTATGATGTGTAAACAGAATTAATATTGATGGTATCCATTCTACAGTGGGAAAGATACCACTGGCAAAACACAGTCCATTTGTCCCATCTCCCCCCAGAGTCTTCACATGCCCCCCTCAACTTTTTTCTGGAGGCTTGAAAGATATTCTAGAGCAGATTTGGGTGACATGGGTATAAGAAGAGAAAAGCAGGACCCTTTCTACAAGGGATGCCTGCTTGTGTGCAGTGAATGTCACAACAGAGTGCAAGGGCTTTGCCATCATGACCTACTTCAGAGGTTGTAAGAGACTGCACTGATGCATAATTCCAGTTCTCTCTCCTGTTAAACTGGATTGGAGAAAGAACACCCATTCTGTCTCAGATCCATTAACTGAAAATTCTCTCTCCCTCCTTCCTCCTCCCAGATTTGATGTTCTGGTAATTATCACATTCCAAATGGTCTAGACTTAACATATCATAGAAATCCTTCTGAAAATCATGGTAAATGAGATTTAAGAATACAGAGTAGCAGTAGTGCTATAGCTCTTCAAAACACACTCTAGCCATTTCACAGTTTAGACATCCCATGAAAACTTCTTTACTTTTATTGTAATTCTTTGAAATTCACAGAAAAAGTACTATTGTGTGCAGCTGTTTTATGAGGCAATAAGTGATTTACATGATATGGTATCTTAAGACACTTTGAATACTGAGTCCAAAAATGCCTCAAATGAGTCTTTCCAGCCAATCTAAAATACAAAAATTAATATAATACCTAATATTGAAAAACAGAAATCTGTCACAAAAGAATAGGAAATGAAACTGAAGTTCTAGACAATTAATATTTTGCTGCCTATATCAAATGTAAATATCATCTTATTTTCCAAATTAGCCCTGAAGCAACTTAGGGTAGGAATTCATGGTACTTTCTCATCCTTTAAGGAAACAGTTACCAAATACTTTCTCTTACGCTTTCCAAATATACTTTAATGCTTGATTCCACAATATTTTTTTAACTTTGGTCTCCCATATTTTCCTTCAACTCATATTAGAAGAATAAACATCTTCTACATAAATATATCAACTTGTACTTTTTTCTTGTGTATGAGGACTCATAAGCATTTTTTACAAGTAAGCTAAGTAGATTTCCAGAATAATTGAAAGCGGAGTCATTTAATCATAACTAGTTCTAGAGGCAGTGACAAAAAAATATAGATGTGTTGACTATTATACAAGGTTCATGTTACTCAAAACAGCATATTTATTTTTAGTTGTTTGATTTATATCCCACTGTTTTATTCAAATAAGTTCTCCCCAACAATTTCTTACCTTCAAAACTAGCAATACAAGTCTGGAATTCTAAATAGAGTTGATATTTAATTTAGATCAATTGCTGATGAAAGGTTCTGTGCACACCACTCAGCCCTACATACATTTTAATGCTATATTCTCCAAAACCGTGACATTCAGCAACTTTTTAACTTTTTCCAACAGCCAGTTTGATTCTATGGTTTTATTTTTGAAAGAGAGGCTTACATAAAAATTTTCTTCAGTGACCTTGAATACTCACTAAAATCCATTCCATACTTTCTATGATAACAAATCAAGATTTTCCTTTGAGGGGCAATTTGATGGGAAGCTTCCACCTATCCCTCTGGCTGATAACATTACCAATGACATTCCATTGTAACCCTACATGATTTTCATGATTCATGACTGTTAGCCTTCATGATGCCAAAAGACTATATCCTAGGGTTATGATACACATTTCCAATTATGTGTACATTTCAGCTATTTTATACATTTTAAATGTACACCTAGATATCATCCTAACATATCTTAGTCAGCTTCAAAATACACATTTTCAATATTGTAGATTACTTAAGGATATGTAAAAATGCATCCTGAACTCTTGGATTCTGGAATGAAAAGAGACTTCAGCACACACTTTTAATCAAACTCAACTACCCAAGACTGCAGCACATACTAACATGAGAAGAAAAAGCCACAGACAAGACTTACCTCCATTGATTGGCAAAGGTGCCAGAAGCAGGCCTTTGACACCTATTTTGGGAGAAGTTTGTCCATAGCGTCCACGCTCAAGTGTTATTGAAGCAGATGTTGAACGATCAGGATTCAACACAGTTACATTTATGAGAGCTGTATAATATATTTGATTGGTATTATCTGCATTAGCTTGGAGAGGATAACAGTTAAACAGGACCAAAATGGGCAGAGAGTATAAGTAGTTCCAGTAAGGCAAAACCCACTTCAGAATCATTTTCAGCTCTAAAAACTGCTATTTTATTGTTAAAAATTCTCCTCAATAAGATGCTTGTGTTTATTATGGGCATAAAGTCATATTAATCTGCTCCACAGTCAAAAGAAGCAAGAAAGTAATCCAGCGTATCTCTCCATCCAGTCACCCACTTCAGCACTGTCGAAAAGGCTTAAGATGGTGGGAGAGCGAAGAAAAAACTCCCACGGTTAAAAAAAAAAGGGAACGAATTACAGCAAAGAAGCCCGGAGATATTGTAACCAATACGGCATTGATCAGGCTTCGGGGACAGTTTATTCATGGGGAGGAGAAATATTCGTACCCCAACGTTTGAAGCTGAGGCCGAGCGGTTCTTCCCTTTGGATGGCCAAAAGGAGCGCTCCCCCGGCCTGCCTGGGCGCCTCTCCTGGGGCTTCCCCAGAATTACAGCTCTTAAGCCTGAGGCAAAGAAGCGCAGCTAGTGGCAACAGCCCCTCGGACAGAGCTTTGTTTTTCTGGGAAAGGCGAAGAGGAAAAAGGGCGGTGGGAGAGACAAGCAGGAGAGAAGCGCGGAGGAGAGGAAGACGGCCACCAGGATTTAGCGACGTCGTTCTGCTCGAAGCCCTTGTTGCCGCCGCCGCCACCTCCAGGCGGCTGGGGCTGCTGCGATCGGCGCCGGAGGCCGTTCAGCGCCGCTCTCTTGATCGTCCCGGAAGCTTCGCAGCCGGCGGTCAACCTCAGGCTTCTGGCTGGGTCCCGAGGCGGAGCCCCCCTACACACGTAGCCTCCACAGACCCTTCCCAGTCCCAGGCGAGCGTCCGCAACGGAGGCAGGAGCGGGAGCTCCATGGAGCCTTAGCCGACCGCTCCGGACCCTGCCCTTGTCCGTCCTCGCGCCCCAAAGCTACAGGGAGCTTACAGCGCGTGCGGCCCCACCCACCAGGCAACCGTCGGCCTCTCCTTTCCTCTCAAAGCAACGGCCGTCGTCACCTCGCGAGCCACTTTCTTATGGCGGAACTGCCAGCTGCAGCCTGCCGGTTAGGGTGTCGCGCCCGGTGCGCAGGCGCACTGCAGCAACCCAACTCTTCACCTCCCCCCGATGAGGAAGTGGGATTGAAAAGTCACACCCCCTCCCACGGAAGGGGGAGAGGGGGAGGGAGAAGAGGCCCCGAGGATCCAGCGGGAGGAGGAGGAGGAGAGGAGAGGAGGGAGGTACTGCACGCGACGGATCTCTGTAGAAAGTGAGGTAGCGTAGCCTGCCGTTGCAGACTGGTTGCTACTTTTGGGTGGTCTCCGTAATGTTGGTGATGACTGCAGCGCAGCCCACGATGGTGGAAGTTGCAGTCGAAGAGCATATGGAGCTATATCTTGCCCGACCCGTTTTATCGGCCCCCACCCACCGCAGCTAATTCCTGGCTGGAGTAATTCCTCGCTTTACAGCACTGATGAATCCTTGGTCCAACGCTCACAATGCAATTTCAAACAGAGCGGACAGCAGATAATAACTTTTTCAGGATTTTTAGGCATCATAATTTGCCACTTGCGATGAATGACCGTTCCAATAAACTGTTGGTAGATAGGCTATTCTTTAGGTATGTATTTTTTGCTTCGGGCTGAGAAGACCAGGGCTCTTACAGTAGCAAGTACTGCTTCAACCCTAGTTATTAATGTCTTTTTTGGCTCTTACATCTTTAGCTCTTGAGAGAGGTAGAATGAATGTTGGGGGGAGGGGGAAAAGCGGTAAATATATAATTTTTTGCACTGTGCATGGCTCATTGGACAAATCACGGCTCTGTTTCTTACCTTGAAGTGTTGGTAGATAGGCTCACATGTATTGCTGACACTTGAAATATACCGGTTCAGTGTTTGTTGAAGAACATAAATATTTCTACAGAGTCCTAGTGGCAAGTGGAAGGCTCCCACATTATAAGCAATGATTAATCTTCAGTAACCTGCTTAAATCTTCCTCTCAGAGAGCTGATGAGGTTGTTGTGATACACCTGATTACCAGTGTGAGACAGCTAAATTAAAATCATATTGTATTGATTTAATTTTCTGTTAATGAAGGCCACATTTCTCTTGTCTTGGGAGGCTTTGCAGTGTGTGTGGCTTAAAGAGTAGATATTGACCCTGCACAGCCCACTAAAAATAGGCAGTTTGTGGCTGTGCAAAACCCTCAGAGATGATGTTCATGCAAAACACTGTAGAAATGTCAGTATAATACAGGAAACATTTCTGAGCCAGTAGCAAATATTCTGCTTTCACAGCATATCCTTCTCCTTCCAACTTGGGACATTCTGGGTGACAAACCACAATAATTCCACTTTCTAAGCATTTTGTGAAACTCTTCATAATCATTTAGCTAAAAGATGGGCACAGAAATGACAAATGTTTCCAGGAAATGTGACTGTGTTTCACCATGCCTAGATTGTAGACAGTAGCTTCATTTTATGGGCACTTTGTCTGACACTGTTTAACACTGTGGAGCATTAGGTATGCTCGCCACCTTGAGCTGACCAAATACCTAAAAAGGTGGGATAAAAATACAAATAATAATAATAATAATAATAATAATAATAATAATAATAATAATAATAATACATCATGACTATTAAAAGCTATTCATACACATATTTCTGGATTCCTCATTTTCTCATGGGAATCACAAGTTTGCATTTTCATATGGAAATTAAAACAGACTTACAAGTAAACTTCTCCACTTTCATGAACCTCCTCTGCTGGTATTTATATTCATATTGGTTTGTAAAATAACACATATTGCACATCTCACAGTGAGCCATAGCACATCATAGTGCCTAGATTATACAACATTCCACACCGGAGTTAAATAAGCCACATTGTAGTTTAGCCCAATGTATGAGTCCAGTAATTTTCACACTCATTTCAGGAGAAGCAAGTTTAAATTGTCAACATACCTCTTTCTTGCTGCTATACTGCACAGGATATCATTAAAACTGAAACTAAAAAGCAGAGCAAAGGAACGTTGAAGAGATGCAGTCTAGTTCTTGCCCATAACAGAAAGTTCTAATGTTTAAATGTTTAAGGACTATTTATCACTTCTATTGTTTTCAGGATTTATTCTTTTTAGGATATGTAGGAAACTCGTTTTGTTTTAAAGGCCAGATGGGCTCTGGATTAATGTGCCAGTAGCCACATGGCATCACTGGATTGACAAATAAGTAGCCCTTGATGTTCTTGTCTAGATAATCCACAGACATTCACATAGTCTCCTGAAAATACCCTGCCACCAACATCTGTGGAGGTGACTTTAATGTCTAATTTTAGAAGGAAAATTAGGGCTGTCCTGAGTAAAAGCCTCCACCATATACCAGTCATGGTTTTATGTACCTCCATTGATATTAATATATGGTATTTTGAAGCAAGAGGTAAATGCTTTAAGAGATGTTGCAGGGTTAAAGAGGAGCCAATTAGCTCTTCCAAGAGCTCTTCTCTTCCCTTAGTCTCTGGGGAATGATTGGGCTGAAGACCTTGAGAGAAGTTCTTCCCTCAACAAAGGAGATGCAGATGGTATGACTGAGCAGATCCAGATTCTTGGATTTGCTCTTCTCTACTCGGTAGAAGCAGCTGCCTTGAAAATGCTGTGATCAGGCTTTAAAGCTCCCTCGTCATAACATGGAGCATATTTTTAAAACTTTATAGAGTTGGAGAAAAGCTCTTGTCTTTGAAGTGCTTATTGTTCCCAGGCCTGTGAGGGGGAATCCTTGGAATGAATCTTGTGGGATGAATGGAGAACTCCATAGTCTTAAGTTTCCATGCCTGCCTGAAATAATGATAAGATAGCTGTCATCATGACAAATTGACTTTTAAAGCAATTGAAATATTTATGGATTTATAAAAAAACACTTTCCCTTTAGCATGCCAACATCTTCCTCTTTCTCTGGTCTCATTCCTCCTATCGGCACCTGACAATTGAATTTGCTATTAGAAGGAGTGGTTATTTAGATTGTGATTGGAACTTGGAGAAATGGGTCATCTTATTTTATTAACTTTTGCTATATAAAATGTTTCAAAGTGCCATATATGCAGATGGAAATATATATGTATGTATAATTACTATCATGACTGTTTCCTTCCAAAAGAATCAAAACCTCAGATTAGTCAGCCAAGCCATCCATTAGCAAGTTATGATGAGAAGCAGTTACAGAATGTCAAGATGCATTCGTATAAGCTAAAGCAGTTCCCTAGAGATACTTTGATTATTCAAAGGCAAATGCTTGTATAGAAAAGCGGAAGAGCTATCATGGGGTAGGGGTGTCCATGTTTAAAACCCCACTTAGTCATAACTTAGTCATAAACCTACTGGGTAACTTTGGTTATCTCTCAACCCAACTTCACAGATAGTAATGAGGATTATTAATTTTATTTTTATCTCACTTTTAGATAGATAGATGATAGATAGATAGCTCCAGAAAGCGAACATACTTAATACTCCTGCCTCCTATTTTGCCCACAACAACAACCCTGTGAGGTGGATTGGGCTGAGAGAGAGTGACTGGTCCAAAGTCACCCAGCTGGCTTTCATGCCTAAGGAAGGCCTAGAACTCACAGTCTCCTGGTTTCTAGGCCAGCCCCTTAACCAAACTGGCTCTCATTAAAAAAAAAAGGGACAAAAAGGGAACCAGATAGAAACATGTATGCCATTGTAAACATCTGCAGGAAAACTGGACACCATAAATCATGGATGTACAAGCTGAAACATTTAACCAAAGGCTTTTTGTGTGGCTCCAGCCTCCTCCTGTGGTTTTTTGGTAGTTCTTTGAAAGGCTTCATCTGCACTAGAATAACCAGTTGCCCTGATAACAGCCTATAATTCTGCTACTCAAGCCACACTAGATTATTTAGCTTCAGTTGCTGAAAAACTGACTAAAAGAAATTCCTATCCCTCAGTAACTTCAGGCTTACACATAAGCCATTTCAGCATTTGGAAACTGGAGCAAAAAATATAGAAAATATCTGACAGATCATAAGAGGGAATTTTCCATGAAGCTCTTTCTTTCTCAATACT